ACATACAGACACTCCATACTTTATTAATTGTATATGTAAATAAGAAAGATAAGAATATTAACAACACTTATAAATATACAACTTTATCATCCTTTTATGTTACTATAATTGTATAATAAAAAGATTATTTACTTTGACCTTTATTGTTACACAAGAGTTTCCTGTGAATTTTATTATGCATAATTAAATATATATATATATATATACATCCCTGGGGATAGTACCTTCCCAATAGCAAATATGGAGAACTGATCGCCAACCTTCGCTAGTCGAAGAGGCACCTCAATAAGAAGAAGAAGAAGAAGATTAGCGAAAGAATTTGTCAAATCCGTTCAGTATTAAAGAGACTAATCAATGCAAACTAACAAAACAACTCTTTCCTATTCATAATACTAATGTTACATGAATTTATTCAACAAATTGTAGAGACAAAAACATATTATAATCTTACTAATATTATAAGTGCAAAAGTTAAGATGGATGTTTGTTTGAAGGTATCTCCGGAACAGTAACAGATTTCGACTAAATTTTGCATAGATGTAGAACAGTCTTTCCCAAAGTGGGCGATAACGCCCCCTTGTGGGAGCTGCAGGTCTCAAGGGGCGGTAAGAGACCCAGAAAGAAAATGGGGGCGTAGTGTAGAGGCCTGGGGGGTGATTTGTAATTTTATTTAGCTAGGAGGCTTCTTAGACAACGACTGCATGAGCTCTTGACTCTCAACAACAATAATTAATTAATTTAATTTGAAGTTATAGTAGTTTTTAAATATGTGAAAATATGGGGGCGCTAAAAAAATATTTATTCTCAAAGTGGGCAGTAGACAAAATAAATTTGGGAACTACTGATGTAGAACATATTCAGAAGGAACACATAGGCTATCAAGTTTCTTTTTAATTCCACACGGACAGAGCAGAGACAACTAGTTATCATAATAAAATTACACTTTATGTAATTTGAATAAGGAATATAAATAATAAAAAAAATATACAAGATTTATGTTAACATATAAAAACATATCAGAAACTTTAAGTGACATTTATGATATATCATGATAGTAGGAATACTTTGACAGTAAATGAGATAAGAAGGCATTTTACTATTATATTAGTACCTGGATGAGCTTTGCTCGGTTTTTTCTTTAATTGTGTTTCTTGGAAATTATATTTAAGTACGAATTACTAATAAAATGATGAAATATGAATAATATTTTTCGATCTTACCGATAGAAAAGGTTAAGTTTATGTTTAAGTTGATTATCGATAAAACACGAATAAAATGACATTTTCTAAAAATGATTCCAAGCTAGATCGATTTATCGCCCCCGAAAGCCCCTATATACTAAATTTTATGAAAATCATTGGAGTCGATTCTGGGATTCCAATTATATATATACAAGAATTGCTCATTTAAAGATATAAGATAAAAAATGTCAAAAGATATATTTCAATTACTATTTAAGATTAGAATATGTTAAAACATTTCTTTTAAATAAATTATCTATAAATTACTATTCACTACTACAAATGGATGTTATTCAAATATCTATTTGTAATAGTCAGTCAGAGAAAAAAGTCAAATAATGCGAACATAATCTTATAAAAAGCTCATAAAAATCCAATTTGTTTAATTCTTGCCTTTTTGTCTATCAGTCTATAAATCCTAGTAGCCAGCAATTTGCCTATATTAGACCTATTTTGACAGGACTTTATTGGAAGACAGCATATGTGTGCAGGATTAACTCAGGTTTTTCTGTTTAATCATTTTGATTAAGTATCTGAAGACTAATGAGTGGACAGATGTGGTAAAGGTCACTAACCCCACCAATTGTTTAATTAATGATACAGAACAAAGCACTATGTGTAAAATTATTAACATACAAACTAAATTTAAATAAATGTCCTAGTTATAATAGTTCATTAAATATACGTACAGCAATAATTCATCGAAAATTTTAAAACTTACCTGACTTTAAACATTTCTTGAACGCCTCTTCGGCAGTCACACGTTCGGGCTTCCTGTCCAAAGGTTGCGATAACTCCTGGGTGTATGTAAAGTAGCTGTTTGATTTAACACTTTGCAACGCGGCGCCTATTTTTACGAAATTCCTCCTTGATAAATTTGGTATAACAACTTTACCCATCACTGACATTTTTGCCTTTATCTAGAGAATATTGTTGTTTAAACGTTTAAGTTATTCTGCACCGCGTTTTATTATAGTGTATTTATTCTTAGAAGACCGAACAGAACAATGATAAACAACCGAACGAGGCAGACCGAACCGCCGACAAACCTCGACCAACCGGCTTTAATTTCAAGCGATTACGTCCAAATCCGAAGTACCTCGTTCGTTTACGTTGCGCTTGCGTGCAAAATGACAGTTAAAGTATGAAATAGTGAAGTGCATATTTCAATAATTTTTGTCGATTTTATTGGTTCGACTTTATTAAATTTTAAAATATTTAAGGTAGATTTTATTGATATTAAAAAATTGATTATGTTTCAATGTGGAATGATACAATTTAGAATTTTAATTTAACACATCACACAAGTCGAATAGAAGCAGATAGTAGTAGATATAACATAATATTATTATTATAGACTAGATTCTACTTTAACTATCTTTATTTTACTTTTTTCATAAGGCAGACGTAAAATATGTAGATAACACGATTGTTTCACTATAGATAATTTAGACCAAAGTTTTAAATACTTCATATCAGCGTCATAAGGTAAATCGAAATCTTTAAGTATTAACTAGAAGACTTATTGATTTGTAAACATCGAAAATATATTTTCCGATTCGTTGATGCACTGCACGTCCCTATGGACTGCTGCACTGACAGCTGTTTAACAGCCTAATCAAATATTAACAAAATTCGAAAACGACCAGATTAACTTTTGTTTTCTTCAAAAATTAAGCGTCAGCTTAGTTTGTGTTGAAGTTGCAATTGTGGGAGTCACAGCCGGAGAATACTTTTTCAAATAAATCATAGTCTTCTTTAACTCATATATTTCCTTTTAGAATTGTAAACAACAACTTTTTCAAAAACACCGCTGTTACATTGTCTTTTTCATTTCCCGAATGCCAGAAAAACATGGCCGTCATTCAGACGAGCAATTACAATACTTTTAATTTACGATAACGAAATACCCTCAGATAATTAACATGATAAGTTGAATACTTCTATTTTATATTTGAGAATCAAATATTTAAATAATCTTTTGGATCGTAATACAAATCATTAATGTTGTTATATTAAATAAACAAAAGTGTTATTGACTTATAGCATAGACTAAATAACGTTTTAGGTTAAGGAATTACAGAATATATGAAATGGCTTACACAATGTTATGTAATTCTTTGTCCACAGTATATAAAACGGTATTAAAGATTATGACTGTTATTATATAATAACAATTGGAAGTGAGATTAGATAAAGATCGGTTTAATTTCTGACTCTAAACATATGCAAATATGCGTATATCTAAAGCAGAGTTCTTAATTAACGTTTTTTTTTACCTTTTCTTATATATGCAAACATTTAATGTATTCTATAATTTGCCGATAAATTCCCTAAGGCGTCACTTTTTCTATATTGTTTAAAAATTAGGTCTATGATTTACTCCCACAACAATATCATTTTACTTTACCTGTCAATTTTCTTGAAACAACTTTAATGTGGAATATATCGTAATGACTGCATTGTGTGATGTTTTGTCTGATGAGTGTGCGTGTCTGAGGCTTAATTTTGATCCTGCCTTCCTTACCTATTTTTGTATGGAAGGGATGGCATTGGTAGGATTTGGTGGAGGATGGAAACGCAAAGAAAGTGGAAATATCCTCTTACTGTATGTTGCCTTCAAAATCGAGGAAAGGTAGTCAAAGCATCTGCAATTGCGGATATCTATGGGCAACGGTTACTTTGCTATTTTAACGATTTTAGATGGACGCTTGCTCGTTTACCACCCATAAAAAACCCAAGGATAATCAACATCTATATAATTTTACAATATATTTTAAATTAAATTCGAGTTGTTATTGCTTGTTTTTAGCGAGTTGAAAACGTTATAAAGATTATATTAAAATATTGTCTATACGATAATGATAAACATAGGGCTGTTATCAATTTATAACTGGCTTATTTGCTTAGAGAGGTCCAGTTTGACCTTATGGACAAATGTGGGTTGACGGGTAACAAATAAATAGCTCACAAGTTGAAGAATAAATGTACATCAGGCCTTCACCGCAACTTGTAAAAATTTGAAAGTGGTCTACTAAAAAAGTTTAGGATTATTTGCGTTACATACGTTGTTCTTAGGACAGAATGATTAGGGAAGAAACAAATACTTTACATGGGTTTCCCCTGTCTAAAAACGTGTAGATAAACATAGTTATTGTCATCCCTTTTATTATCGACACATCTGTCATCTTTCGAATAGACAACGATATTTTTTTATATTGAATAAGCGAACGTTTGACCACCATCCCACCTGCTGTTAAGTGATAGCTAGATATGTTTTTAATATGGCAGTTTAAACTAATAGTTTGAAAAACATCATCATGTGAAAATAATAAAACCAAATCAACAACAAAAATCAAAATGTGGTGCCAAAAAAAATTGATGTTTTAAAAAATTGTTGTGTCCATCAAGTAATTTAATATCATCATCATCAGCAGCAGCAGCTCACTATACGTCCTAAGTTAAAGGTGATTAGGCCATAATCAACTACGCTGGCCAAGTGCGGGTTGGTTGACTTCACATGTATATTTTAACTTCTTCTCAGATATATGCAGGTTGCATCACGATGTTTTCCTTCACCGTAAGAACGTCGGATAATTGTACTACCCCTGATCCACCGATGCTCTAATTTTAATATATCTGACCTAATTTTTTTATAAAAAAAGGAATTATTACTAGTTTTGCCAGCCCTAATTAATAAATCCCCCACACAAAGGTTTTAACGCTATTTAGATAACAACAGCAAAATATGTATAAATGCGAATCTATAAACTGTATTCTTAAATTAAGTCAAAATCGCTTTAAAAATGAAACGTGCTAAATTAGGTAAAATTTTAACATTATTTTGGTGAGTAAATTTACTCGTAATTTCACAATTTTTTTTATCTCTTGAAGTCCCTAAATTTTCCGTTCACTCCGGATAAAATACTATCCAAAACCTTAACATCCCTTTATCATAGACAAAACTGCATATTACAGAATACAGATTATAAAACTATTTATTCCAATCCGTGTGTTTTATGTTTGTACTACTTGTATTTTTTTTATGTTAGCAGCGAGATTTTTCAGTTTTTCCTACTTAGACCCCTTTTTCATTAAAAAATTTTTAGTTATTTAGTAAAAACGGTGTGCTAATAAAATAAGGATCGTAAAGTTATAGGATAAAGTGGTTATCACTTATCAAGTTGTCTATGGGTAAGAGGTTGAATTAAAATATTATTTTTTAATTTTCAGGTTTCTCGGTCTAGCAACGTGTGCTAATGTGAAGACTTTCCCCAGAGATTTTGAATTTGGCGCTGCGACCTCTTCTTATCAAATAGAAGGCGCTTGGAATGAGGATGGTGAGATTCAATATTACTCCTTACTAATGTTATAAATTCTTGATGAAATTTGGCATAGTAGTAATCAACATAGTCTGAAAGAAGAAAGTATTATATATTTTTTAATTTAGCGCGGACTGTGTCCTGAGTTAGGTATGCATAAATGTAGTGTTGTTTGTCTCGAGCGTACACGTCGTTCGTACATGCCGGAATGGGGCGACGTCAGTCGATGTCAGACCTTTGGACCGGCAGCACGTGTCGGTACGTGAACGAGCCAAATGTAACGCAACGAATGCTACAATGAGCAAAAGCTAGTATGGGTCATACCGTTATAATGATCTGAAATTTATAAAAAAAATTACATTACGCAAATGATATTATGACCATTTGCCACCAAATTCAATACTACATACTTTACAAGACTCAAGCTGTAATATCAATTGTTTTTATCATTGTTTCAGGCAAAGGTTGGTCAATGTGGGATCATCTGGTCCGTACCGACCCAGAATTTATATTCGACAACACGACCGGTGATATCGCTGCAAACTCTTACTATTTATACAAACGAGATGTTGAAATGCTTAAAGAACTGGGGGTCGATAATTATCGGTTCTCCATATCCTGGCCGAGGATATTACCTTACGGCCGACCAGATTATGTTAACGCTTATGGAATTGCGTATTACAATGCTTTGATAGACGAGTTACTAGCTAATGGTATAACTCCATTCGTAACGATATACCATTGGGAATTGCCTCAGAATTTGAACGAACAAGGAGGTTGGTTGAATGGGGAAATAGTGGATTGGTTTGCAGACTACGCGAGGGTGTTGTACGAGAATTTTGGTGATAGAGTTAAGCATTGGATGACCATAAATGAGCCACATATACATTGTTATTTCGGTTATGGTACAGCACATCATGCGCCTAGAATCTTTTCACCAGGGATTGGTTATTACGAATGTGGAAGGAATATTTTATTAGCCAATGCTAAAGCATATCGTCTCTATGATACTGAATTCCGAAGTTCCCAGGGAGGTGAAGTTGGTTTTGTGGTCAGTATGGAATGGGCGATACCAGAAACGAATTCACAAGATGACCTTGAAGCTGTGCAAGACTTTATGGCATTTAACGTAAGTTGTAAAGATAACATATTTTATTGTTTATATTTTGACGTTATTGGCAAATAAACACGTTACATTGTCTGTATAAATTTATTTTTTAATCTTTTTGTTTTTTACCTTTAGCATGGTGAAAGAGTTTTTATTTAAAAATAACAAAAACGCTCTAGAAACGTCTTTTGAGTACAGGACTAACCTATAAATGTATTCCAAAAATCTTCCTAATATTATAAATGTTAATATTTAGATGGATGGATGTTTGTTAGAAATTACCTTTTAACGGCTTAACAGATTTCGATGAAATTTACTACAAGTATAGAACATAGTTCAGAATAACACATAGACTATTTATTAAGTTTTTTTTTAATTCCTCAAGGACGAAGACACGGGCAAAAGCTAGTTGACATTTAAAAAATTCAAACCAATGTATTTTAGCCAAACCTTTTAAAAATCACTTAATTTAAAACATATATATCGTAACAATTAAGAGACGTATTATATTCTTTTCAGATTGGTCAATACATGGACCCGATATTTTCAGAAAAAGGCAACTATCCTCAGCGTATGATAGACAGGGTCCAAGCCGCAAGTCTTAACCAAGGTCTCAATGCATCAAGACTCCGTCCGTTTACAGACGAGGAGATAGAATTTTTGAGAGGAACCGCAGATTTCTTAGGATTGAATCATTATACAAGCAGAATTGTTTATAGAAATGAATCGCTTATAGGAAGATATCATATACCTTCTAGTCATGATGATGCGTATTATGGAGAATACACGGATCCGTCGTGGCCTTTTGATACTGGATTTGTTTACGTAAGCCATTTGTTATCTTCTTACGCTGATCTGCATATTAATGGATAGGTGGTACGCTTGAAAAGGAAAGCTTCCTTTCGAATTAATGTTGAAATTACTGTCCGCTTGATCTAGTTCGATCTTCGTCACTATCAATTTTGGCACAAAACATCACGGCTTATAACCTAACAAAAAGTACGTTTCAGATGTGTCAGACAACAATGAATAAGTTGGAGACGCCATAACCTATAGTTTCGTTAATTGTTTCGTTTTAAATTAAGTTAATAAAAAAAATCGATATTTGATTTTTTTTAGGTTATTTTGTGAAAATTGTCAGGTGAAATTAAGTAATAATGTTATTATATATATGCAAGGAAATGTGTTTAACCAGAAATATTTTGGATTTTACGATTTTTGGCATAAAATGTATTTTGTTTATGGCTTATTGTTTTATTTTGCAGGAATATGCTCCTGGTTTCTACAACTTGATGGTCTATATTAAGAACACGTATAATAATCCAAAGATTTACATAACAGAGAATGGTTGTTCCACATCAACGGGGCGTAATGATAACCAAAGAGTACAATATTATAGGAACTATTTAAATGCCTTGCTTGACGCTTTAGCCGAGGGCGTCAATGTCAAAGGATACTTTGCTTGGAGTTTAATGGATAATTTTGAATGGAGTTTCGGTTATACGTAAGTAAAATCAAAGGATTAAATTCCCTTTAAGCTTAGGATATCTTATAGTCTTGTTAAGATATATAATTTACCAAGTATGTTGCTTCGACCAGCCTGTGAGCTGAGTGCATTCTGACGGTCAGAGTGAATTTTCAGGATTTCTTGTTGTGAACGAAAATAACAAACATTTTAGTAGGTGATATTGTCAGCAAAAACTACTTAATTATGTTTTTTTTTCAGGTTAAGATTTGGTATTTATGAAATTGATATGGATGATCCAGAAAGGACGAGACATCCTAAAAAATCAGCGTTAGTTTATAAAGAAATAATTAGTAGCAGGGTTATAGATTACAATTATAATCCAGTCCCCTATACGCTATCAAGTGCTTTCAGAAGAGATGCGTCGGTATTAATAATTTTACTACTGGCAACATTAAAATATTTTGTTTAAATTTAAAAAGAATGTAAATATAGTTAAGTTTATAAATAGTATAATAATATGGATAACTGTTATTTATTTTGTAAGTTATAATAAAAAGTTAAAATAAAACTCTTATCTTACGCAATTGAAAACCTCTAAATACTAACTGTGGATAACGAGTGCTGTGAACACTGATCTCCATTAAATGGACAGGCTATAAGCAGTGGTATTTTGTGCCTATTTGATTTGCGCCATTTTGGCGTTGACGGCTACGATTGGTAGAGTGGTGAGAATTCGAACGAACCACAGAGATAGAATTAACTGCCAGGAACATGAACGAGAGAGTTGAAATAGGAAAAAGCACACAGATTGTTTTGTCTGTTTTTTCATAGAGAATTTGAAAGAGACAACAGTAAAATTTTCGGATTTGCATCCTTGACCTTCGATACGTCTCCGAATTGTTTGATTGACGTTCATTTAAAGATACCATTTGTTATCGTAACCTTATCGTTTAACATATCTATGTAGTTAAATTAATTCAACAAGATAGCTAACACCCGGTTTCCAAAGAATGGTCTGTATAATGATCAATGATATTTAGATTAACAGGTTAGACGGACAGAATAAAATATCAAAAACTAGGTGAAGCCCGCGACTATGTTCTACATCTATGCGAAATTTCAGCATGATCCGTGCAGTCGTTCTGAAGATACCTTCAAACAAATATCCATCTAAACATTCGCATTTATAATATTAGTAAGAAGTAAGATAAGTAAGGTAACATTTAGACATTCCAATTGTATTTATCTGTATATAAGCTTAGTATAATTTATTAGGTTATTAAAATATTTATGATTAATTTCGTCATGACATTTTTTTTTTACTTTTTGGTGCATTTTGTTTGACAACTCTTTTTTATCATCTCTTTTTTAATGTACAATAGTGTACAAGGAATTTTAAATAAATTGTATATAATTGAGCTATAATCTAAAATATTTGATATTCGGGAAATACGTTAATTAATTGCTAATCTCAATTGATAATATTTTTATCAAGTCTGTGATTGACACGTGATACACTCAAATGATTAGTATCACGCCAAATATAGATTTGGTAAAAGTTGTCCAGAAATGTTAATATCCAGGAATGGCACATGAACTCAATTACTTCCTTTGCGTCGGCTCTACAGATGCAATACTACGAACACATTGAAGACAGGTGTCAAATGGAAGTAATTCCGCGTACAGTCTGATGAGTGTGCGTGCTGAAGGCCTTAAGTTAGTCCTCTTTCCCTTCCCATCCTTCTTTTGGGAAGGGAAAGGGAAGTGGATACGGCGTAGGAGGGAACGCATAGGAAGGGATATCCTTTTTTTGTGCGTCCCTTGTTGGTTAATTGAAGGTGGACCAACGCATCTGCAATTGTGGATGTCTCTGGACAGCTGTTGCTTCGCTATCTCGGCGAATTCAGATAACTGCTTGCTCGTTTGCCATCATTATAATATAAAAAAAGTCGCCTAGTTCCGGTTATAACTAATTGGTGGCCGATTAAGGAAAAGTTGATCTGATTTTAAAATTGGTAAAATTTTTCAATGGAGCGATAAAAAATATTAATAAACCAATTATCAATACGACGAAAGACGAAGGATTTTAATAGATAGTGATTTTTAGGGTTGCCAACTAAACATTTCTTAAAAATATAGAAATTTTATGGATGTACAAAAATATGTCACCTTTGTGTTAAGACGTATGCAGTTTTGATTTTTTCATAGAGTATAAAATCTGCTAGTCAAGCCCTTTCATTTGATGCCCATATTGGGAGGAGATAGAATAGTTTTTTAAATTAATATAAATGTAAAAAAAAAGAAACTAATAATATAATATATAAATACAAATAATGACCATTAATTTAAGATCGTCAATTGTTCCTTTTTCCTTGTTCCAGTAGCAATTTAATTAATAAAATATAATAAAAAAATACGAGTGTCACCCCTAATTCAAAATTGATTACGAATATGTAGCTATTGTGAGTTTATTTCGATAATAGAACTAGGATATAAAAGGTCTTCCTTTAAAAGAAATGGGCCAAACGGTTTTTAAACTTAGTAAAAATGGAACAGCCTTTATATGTTATAGTTTTCTTTTCTTTGTAAGTTCAAAACAAAATCATATTTTTTTAATGATTGGAAATTGTATAAATGAACTAATTTAAATCATATTTTAGAACATTGCATACGTTAATTAAAAGTGTTAATAAATTACATTAATTTGAACGTTATTTTTGAATCTGTGGTTTAACTTTTATTTTATTTTTATTCTATAGGTTGCTAGGTTTAACAAGATGTGCAGGAAACATAAAAACTTTTCCATCAGACTTTGAATTTGGAGCAGCAACGTCTTCATATCAAATAGAAGGAGCTTGGAATGTTGATGGTAAGTTTATAACTTTTTATACTTATATTTCCTCTTTAAGAAATATAAGTAGATTTTTAATTAATTTACTAATATTCCTTGTACCATTTCGACAAAGCTGTATCATGTGCTAGGACATGGTTCACGACAGTAATCGAATTCGGGATTCGAACCCCCGACCGCTTGATCGGAAATCCGTACCCTTAACCATTAGGCTATTGACGATAACCTTTTCTTGTGTCCCGGCAATTTTTTTACTTCAAGGTTTACGAGCAGGTTGTCAAATTAACAATCTCATCAAATGTAGTGGAAACCTTCAATTATTGAAGGTTTTCACTACTATTAAGATATAAGTAATTCAAGGTCAAATTGTATTAAAAATGTGTTTAATAGAGGAAGTTTGAAAGTAACGCCAGTGATCGAGAAATTTAGGAGTAAAACATTAGCGTGGTTTGGACATGTTATGAGAAGGGATGATGATGATATAAGCAAAAAAGTAATGAGATTGAATGTGGATGGCGACAAGGGTAGGGGAAGACCAAAAAAAGTATGGAATGACTGTGTGAAAGAGGATATGCGTAAGAAGGGGGTAGACTCGGATATGACGGCTGATAGAGATGTATGGAAGAGTAGTACATACTGTGCCGACCCTCGATAGGGATAAGGGCAGGTTGATGATGATGATGAAGTAATTCAAGGCCAAATTCATTGATTTAACAATAGTATGAAATTATTCCAGGTAAAGGATGGTCCATGTGGGATCATCTCGTTCGTACCACACCACAGCGCATCGAGGATATGACAAACGGGGATACAGCAGCGAAATCTTACTACTTATATAAAAGAGATGTTCAAATGCTTAAAGAACTGGGGGTCAAGAACTACCGGTTCTCTATATCCTGGCCGAGGATATTACCTTACGGCCGACCAGATTACGTGAACCCTTACGGTGTTGCGTATTACAATGCTTTGATAGACGAGTTAATAGCGAATGGTATAACTCCATTTGTGACGATGTACCATTGGGAATTGCCTCAGAATTTAAACGAACAAGGAGGTTGGTTGAACGATGAAGTGGTTAACTGGTTCGGTGATTATTCCAGAGTTTTGTTTCAAAATTTCGGTGATAGAGTGAAACATTGGATGACTATTAATGAGGCTCACGTTCATTGTTATTTGGGTTATGAGATTGCGTTCCATGCGCCCCAGATATCTGTACCAGGCGTCGCATACTACGAATGTAGTAGGAACATACTTCTAGCTCATGCTAGGGCTTATCGTATTTATGAAGCTGAATTTAAAAGCACGCAAAGAGGAGAAATCGGTTTTGTAACGAGTATGGAGTGGGGTGTTGCTGAAAGCAATTCCACAAATGTTAAAGACGCTCTAGAAAATTTTCAGGCTCTCAATGTAAGTATGATATAGATAGTTAATAGTGGAACAATATTTTATGAACAACTAATGCACTCTGTTAATTTGAAAACGATTATTTTTCTGTCAAACTTTGATCAAGATAAGCCAAAATAATTTGACAAACGTAAAATTTCTTGGAAAACGACTACCTTTTGGTAGAATGGCTACAAAGGTAGAGAAAGAGCTGAGAAAGCGTGGATTATATTGTAAAAAGTGGACAAGGGAGTGAATTCCGTGTCATATACCTACGTAGTTTTAGACATTATTAATTAGAATCCTTTGTCGTGAATGGTGCGCTTTCCTTACAAAGTCAAGTGTCAAAATGATTAGTGAGGGTACATAAACGTCGACATTTTAGTAAGGTTAGTGCTGCGCTAGTACAGCGGCACAGTGTCGGATTTTCTTTCTAACAGTTGTTAAAAGTACAGGATGATGTTAAAATCTGTGATTTTTTTTCAATGTTTTTTTCTTTCAGATCGGTCAACACATGAACCCGATATTCTCAGAAAGTGGTAACTTTCCTCAGAAATTGATCGATCTTGTTAATTCATCGAGTATAAGACAAGGTTTGAACGAATCACGATTACGTCCGTTCACTCAGGAACAGATCGAATCGATCAGAGGATCTGCAGATTTCTTAGGATTGAATCATTATACGAGTAGAATTATTTATAGAAATGAATCTCTGAATGGTACTTTCACGGTACCTTCGATCCACCATGATACATTTTACGGAGACTATCCTCATCCATCTTGGTTCTTCCACGGTGGATATGTTTATGTAAGTTTAATTTTTAAAATATTTTTAATTACGCAGGTTTATAGATGGAAAGTAACTAATGTTTTATAGATTTTGGTCACAAAAACGACCAAAATCTATAAAACATTTCGTCATCATCATCTCTGTGACCTCATCATCTTTGACAAAACTGACATAAAAATAACGGGGATATTTGTCTCAGACATTATTATAAACCAAAGGACTAACTTGAGTAGTCCCTTATGTCAGGAATTAATTGTAGTGTGGCAGGAAACTCGACTAAGATATTAGCAACAGCAATATTAGAAAAAAGGTTTAACTCTTTGCATTTATTTAATAATTAATTTTGAAACCGGGAAAATTTGTGGCCAGTATTCAATGGATTTTTACAAAAGAATAATACATGATATAATAAATCAAATAGACAAGATTAATTACATAGATTTTAGTGTTGAAAGCGTCAATATTTAGTTTTATCTTCTATCAATATGATAATACGTATTACCGGTGATAAAAATGGGAACAATTTTTTTTTTAATCTAAGAAGACATCAATGATAATATTAAAGACGATTTATCTATACAGCCAAAATTCAATATTCATTAAACATTACGCAGTTCATTAAATAATTACATACGTAGATGATATAATAAAATATTATAGCCAACCTTGAGAAATATAAAAATCGTCGCCATATTAACTAGAAGTTAGAACATTTTTTTTTGCGCACATGAAAAAATCAAAGTTGCTTGTTGGTTAGGTTTATTTTTTAATTTAAGAGATTAATTTGAATATTTTAAACAAAAATAATATCTATTCTCTTATTGTATTTTAAATTAATAATCCTAAGAATTGTTTTTTTTTATTTCCTAGCTACATTTTTGTATGATAAATTCTTTTTTGTAGGAATATCCTCGTGGATTCTACGATTTATTAATTCATTTGAAAGATAACTACAATATTCCTAAGATTTACATCACAGAGAACGGTGCTCCGTCTCTCAGAGGTCTCAATGACACCCATAGAGTACGATATTATAGGGAATATTTGAGCGCGATGATTGATGCCATTGATCAAGGTGTCAACGTCAGAGGTCACTTCGCTTGGAGTCTAATGGATAACTTTGAATGGACGTCAGGGTACACGTAAGTACTGTTAAAATGTCAAATCCGTTGAACCGTTTTCAAACAAGCATCGATACATCCAAACTTTTGCATTTATAATATTAGTAAGATTTTTAAACAATAAAATTGATTGCTATTGATAAATTGGTTAAATTCGAACAATTTAAAATGATCGCGGATGAAAGTGCTTCAAGGTCAAATTGATTTCGATGGTTTATCTCTGAATCATATAATAATTAATTATTTGTTTAATCTTTATCAATAAATCTCATTACAATCTAAAATAATACATCTCGTATTACAATTTCTAAAATAACTTAGCTACAGCGGCTATTTTATCAATTTTTTACATTTTGTATTAACATATCGATTCAAGCTTGAAAACTCGTGTCGATTTTTGTCTCTACAATCAAAAGATGTGCTATTCAAACTTTATGGCTGCCATAAAGTTTGAATTTTGTAATACTTTTGTTGATAGTGTTTTGTTTTATTTCCAGCGTAAGATTCGGTATCTACGATGTTGACATGGAGGATCCGGAAAGGAAAAGAACGCCGAAGAAGTCTGCTTTAGTATACAAAGAAATGGCAAGAAGTAGAATTATCGATTACGATTATGATGTCGACCCTTACGCGCCCTCTGCTGCTTCCGGTAGAAATGTGTCGATATTTATAACTTTATTTCTGGCTACACTGAAAGTTTTAGTGTAAATTTTATCCAAAAGGTCTTTTTTGGTAATTGCATGCCATTTAATCGCACAATTTTTTCACAATAAGTCATGTCAAACTTGGTGAAAATTAAACCCAGTGCCCAATGGCCGCAGTCGAACAAAGATGTAGGAACCATATAGAAATTAAGAACTAGATGTATAAGAATATTAAAAAATATTGATACATTTGATTTATTTGTTTTACTTTTTTAAAATATATATGAATGGATTTTGAGAACGAGTATTTTATTAGAAATAAGGGTGTGCATTCCGATATGACGATGGATAAAGATGTATGGAAGATTAATACATACTGTGCCGAATCTTCGTAAGGAGAAGGGCAAGTGATGATGATCATTAAAATGGTTTTCTACAATAAAAAAAAAATAACTATGCTGAAAAAAAAATTATATTAAAATGCGAGAAAATCGTTGCTTGGAATTCAAGGTCATACATTACAAATCATTATTCATTGCTAATACAATTAAATAAAGAGCGTCGGTGGCCCAGGGGTCAAGCACGTGACTTGCAATCTGCAGGTCCTGGGTTCGAAACCCGCCATGTACCAATGTATTTTTCGATTTCCGAGCTACATAGGTAGTGAAGAAAAACATCGTGATGCACCGTGCACATATATGAGAAGAAATTCAAAGATATGTGTGAAGTCAACCAACCCGCACTTGGCCAGCGTGGTTGACTATGGTCTAATCACCCTTAACTAAGGGTAGGCTCCGAGCCCCTCGGTGGAGACGTATAGTGAGGTGATGATGATGTTGACATTAAATAATCGTAACAAACTTATCTTACTTTCAGTAGGGAAAAGAATTAAGTTTGTATAATAATTATAGTTTTCTTGCGCCTGTAAAAATCATTACAGCAATTTTATGCGACTGTTGTTTGGGACTTAAATTGGAAAATTAAAAATAAATTTTGGAGGTGGATTGTTTTAGTAAAATTTTAATTGTTATCAATTACAATTAGAATTTTAAATGCACGTTATTTTATATGTTTTTCATCTATGAAAATTATTATATTAGTATTGATTAAAAAAAATTATTCGTCAGAGTCTGGTACATCTATAAACTGATATTTTATTAATTTGGGATAACAAACGGGGTTTAATATGAAATTCTTCTGAAGTTATTTATCGTTGTCAATAATGCTTTTATATTATTTTTTTTTATTATCTGTCCGTGACCCAATAAGAGTTGCCCAGTGCTGTGAAATTTATTTTTTACTAAAAATCTATAATAATGTTGAGGAACTAGATTTTTAAACAAACAAACAAATTCGCCTTGCATTTGTTTCTTCTAATTTTTCCTGTCTCATCATATTATTTTGTTCTTTGTTACAAGAAAGGTACCTAGAAAGATGAGATTACAAAATAAAGTTATTTTAAAAAAACTTTCTCAACAATCTCTCAGAAATTTCTTTTTTTTCATTTATGCCATGTATCATAAAATCTTATAATATTATATTAAATTATGATTTTCTGGCAAAAAACTAAACTTAAACAAAAATTGAAATTAAATAAGACCAATTTTTTAAATTCTACCTTTTGGTAATATTTTTTGTAGCATGTAGCAACATACGCCTTGTGATGGGTCACGTGACGGCACGTGAAAGGCCATAGACAATACATCCATTCGTCAGTTTTCGGGCGAGAAGGCAGCGCAGTTTGGTGTTTCACTGAGCGGACTGCCAAAAGAAAACTGAAACATGGCAAAAACCATCTCCGTTAACCAGGCTGCCAAGGAGCATGCCCTTGCTGTATCCCGTGACTTCATATCGCAGCCCCGTCTCAGTGAGTATTCGATTTAGGGAATCCATTTTTGTGTCCATTAGCTCGATACAACTGGGTTGTCAAATTATTGATTTTGCTCACAAGAGTAATGACTTGGTTTCGGTTTCTTCTATTATTTGCTTTAAAAACTTAGATTTATCGCTTAATACTCGAATTAAATTAACGAAGTATGTAAATGACCACTTTCAGCACTTTTTCGGGAAAATTATGTAGCCTTGATACGCTTATCATTAGTTATACTTTACATCATTTTCGGGACTAATCAATGGTCCGAAACCGAATTAAATACTTTTAAATCAATTTTTGTTACGCAATTCTATATGATTCTAATTTGAAGATTGGGGTGTTCCTTTTTGGATATTTATTCCATTGAACCTGTACATGGGTTTATTAGTAGTTCATTAAAGATTTTAAGACCTAATAGAAAACACAAGTAAAATAGGTTTTATAGTTAAAGAATAAAATTGGAATGTTAAGTAATAAAATGGGTACATGCCCATTAGGATTTTCACACTTTGATCAGCTGACTGTTTCAAAACTGTCTATGGTTTATCAACTTTTTTTTTATTTTCTAAGTGAAAAAGGCTTTAATTATTAGGATAATAAAATGAAAGTGGAAATAAGAAATTGTTTTTAAACTTTGAACAAATTTAGTGTCATGTGATCTAAATTATATGAGTTTTAAAGCTTGGTTTTAATTTAAATGTTGATTTTGCTTATTTGTACAGATTTAAGTTAAAATTATTAAGATACACAGTTAAAAATATATAAAACCTATTTAAATTTCTTTAAAAAACTAACTTATTAGTTTCCATCATATTTCTAATTAGAAACTGGCAAATATGTAGAATATAAAATTTTAAGGTGATGAAAGATCTAAAGATGAAAATCTTATATGAAATAAATACTGGAAATATAGTGATAAGATAGTAGTCAGATAAATTTCAGAAACTACAAATATCAAATAAAACCTCAGCAAGTTCTTTTGTATTATTGAACATTATTTAAAATTAATTTAGCTGTATTTGAAATTAGAATAGTTTTATTCAACTTGCATTGTTTGGGTCAAATAGTAAATTAGCCCTACATGCCTGTATAGAACAAAATTAATACACTTTAGTATTTATATCTTAAATTATGTTACTAAATCTGCTAAAAATGTAGTAAAACTTAAATGATCCTGATATATATATGTTATATACCCCTCTATACATGTTATTCTCTCCTGTCCCACTGGGTTACCTGGAAGAGATTGCTTATAGCGATAAGGCCCTTGCTACGATAGTTATTAGTCATGTTTTTATATACTGTATTAGCATTAAGCTTTAATAAATAAATAATATATTACAATGTAACATTTGTTATAACCCAGCTTACAAGACGGTGTCAGGTGTAAACGGCCCCCTGGTCATCCTTGATGAAGTCAAATTCCCCAAGTTCTCAGAGATTGTCCAGCTCAAACTTGCTGATGGAACACTCCGATCTGGACAGGTATGTTAACTTCTAAATTAACTTAACTACAGAGCTTGTTAAAAAAAATCTTACTTTTCTGGCAACAATTTGTACATTATACAGATTTTGCCAATTAATTTCAAATTAAAATTGACACATATATTTTATCTATCAAAATATATTGCTTGTTTGTTACTTTACATTCCATATTTTGTTTGCTTCTTTGTTTGCACAAGGAGTAAATAAATTACACAAATTATTTTATTTTAATAAAATTAGTGTATCTGTGGGGCTAGACAAAGTGCATTGGCTACAAAGCGATTACATAACGAACTTCAAAAATGTATAGAACTTAACAATAAGTTGCGTCTTAAAATAAGATCACGTGTTTGTCGCGCGTCTGCTATATTTTTGAAGTTCGTTATGATATTGCTTTGTACCAAATGCACTTTGTCTAACCCCACTGTCATGCTAGTCTCGGCAGAGGCATTGTGGTGTCCTCATACATATTATTTAAGATAACTTTATTAACTATTTTTGACGTAACTATGAAATTAAGCTGCATAAATTAATATTATCTTAAATTTCGAAGGATTATGAACAAAAGTCAAAGTAACTTGTGTTCTCAGGTACTTGAGGTCAGCGGCTCTAAAGCCGTTGTGCAAGTGTTCGAGGGTACATCGGGTATTGACGCTAAAAACACTCTCTGCGAGTTCACAGGCGATATCCTGCGTACACCCGTCTCTGAAGACATGTTGGGTATGTAACTATAGACTTTGTAAATTATAATTCCGAACATTACAAATATAGGTATAAAATAGGGATGTTATAGAGAAGGTAAAGTTTGAAAATTGCCGGGAAAAAAAATCTACAGAAAACAATGGACTACTTTTTAGTAAAGTATACAGTTGGTATTTGAATATTTAAAATATGTATACATGTGGTATTTTCTTTTATAATACAAAATACTTGTAAATATTAATTATTTGACTATCAGGTCGTGTGTTCAACGGCTCGGGTAAGCCAATTGACAAAGGTCCTCCAATCCTGGCTGAGGACTTCTTGGATATCCAGGGTCAGCCCATCAACCCCTGGTCACGTATCTACCCCGAGGAGATGATTCAGACAGGTTTGTTATACATATATATAGCTGTAAAGATATTTATTTTTATTTTTAAAATATCATTTTCTTTTACAAGAATTTTATTAGAGTACATTTTTAAGTTTAAAATGGACAGCACTACATACAGATAGGATTGTCAAAAATTGCACAATTTTTAAACAATAATTTGCATATTTGGAAAATATTAGAGGACACAGCAAAATAGAAATTAGCGCCCTCTTGTAGTATTTCTGTGTCTTAATATTGTTTTAGAATAAAATTAGCTAATCTCGATAACATGGTAGGTATCTCCGCTATCGACGTGATGAACTCAATCGCCCGAGGTCAGAAGATCCCCATCTTCTCAGCTGCTGGTCTGCCTCACAACGAGATTGCCGCCCAGATCTGTCGACAGGCCGGTCTGGTCAAGGTAAATATATATATTTTTTAATATTAGCAATTTTTTGTTAATTTACTAATATTTCTCGTACCATTCCAAGTAAGCTCTTTGCTTGTGTTAGGATATGGTTTACGACAATAGTCGAATGGCGAGAATCGAACCCTGGACCTCATGATCGGAAACCCTACACTTAACCATTAGGCGGTTGGCACTTCATTATACACAAGAATTAAATTACATTCTTCTAGGTTGTTTTAAAAATTTATTGCCTACGTTAATAATTAATATTAAATTGACGTTTTCTTGAAATACCTTAATTTTTTTAACATGTTTTCATTGTTCGGTTTCTTCAAAAGAGAGTGATTTTGATAATAGATTCTATAAGTCGAGTTACGATAGTTTTTTTCATATAATTTTTTCTTTAGGTGCCGGGCAAATCTGTGTTGGACGACCATGAGGACAACTTTGCCATTGTGTTTGCTGCTATGGGTGTCAACATGGAGACAGCCAGATTCTTCAAGCAGGACTTTGAAGAGAACGGCTCTATGGAGAACGTGTGCTTGTTCTTGAACCTCGCCAATGACCCCACTATTGAGAGAATCATTACTCCACGTCTGGCGTTGACCGCTGCTGAGTTCTTGGCTTACCAATGCGAGGTGAGTGACCTTTTGACTTATTTTAAACCTTAGTTTTTTTTAATTTACGATATGTTAAATTATTCAAATCTTACTAATAGAAATGCGAATGTCTGGATGGATAGATGTATGTTTGAAGGTATCTACAGAATAGCTGCATGGATCTCGCGGAAATTTGGTACAGATGTAGAACATAGTCTGTAAGAACAAATAGGCTAATTAAGTTATTTTTTATATGGTGTGGACGGAGTCGCGGGCGACAGCTAGTGATATATGAAGGGGTTAAACACTCATGTTTATACTTTAGTGAATAAATGTTTTATATGAATGATTGAATAGTAATTGAATATTGTTTGTCGTAGAAACACGTGTTGGTTATCTTAACCGACATGTCTTCGTACGCTGAGGCTCTGCGTGAGGTGTCTGCTGCCCGTGAGGAGGTGCCCGGACGACGTGGTTTCCCAGGTCATTATTTATACCTTTATCATTGTATACTAATTTTTACATTCATTTATGTAAAATTAAGACTCATAGAAAGTTGTTTGAAGTTTTTGTTACTTTTGAAATAACTTTTTTAATCTACACTGTATACTTGTATACTTGTATCTTATGGTGTCCTAACTGCATCTAAGTTGTATAATGTTGTTTCTACATTGTATACATGTTGCATCTAGGCTGTATACTTTACATCTATGTTGTATACAATTGTACCTATATTGTAAACGATTTGTATTGTCTCCAGGTTACATGTACACCGATTTGGCGACCATCTACGAGCGCGCTGGTCGTGTTGAAGGTCGCAATGGCTCCATCACTCAGATTCCCATCTTGACGATGCCTAACGATGACATCACGCATCCAATTCCCGATTTGACGGGTTATATTACTGAGGGACAGGTTAGTTAGAAAATAAAAATAATCTTACTAATATTATAAATGCGAAAGTTTGGATGGATGGATGTTAGAAGGTATCTCCAGAACGGCTTAACAGATGTCAGTGAAATTTGGCATGCATGTAGAACTTAGTATAAAAGAGCAAAACATAGGCTAATACTTTTTTTTTATTTCCGCTTGGATCTAGTTAACTGTCTAGCTAGTCTATGTATAAAAAAACTTAAAAACGTCTAAATTGATTTGGCTAAAAAGTGGGCAGTTAACTTAGAACCAGATGTATTTACGTTAACCCATTTCATTTTTTTTAATTCCTTGCAGACAGAATCGCGGGCTAAAGCTATTAATATATATATTTTTAGATCTACGTGGACCGTCAGCTGCACAACAGACAGATCTATCCTCCGGTGAACGTACTGCCGTCTCTGTCCCGTCTGATGAAGTCCGCCATTGGTGAGGGCATGACCCGCAAAGATCACTCTGATGTCTCCAACCAGCTGGTTAGTATACAATGCATATTTAACACATTTTCAAGGTTTAATTTTTAAATATTTAATTAGAAAAAAACAAGACGGCTGAGAAGAAAAGAAGTCGTCAATTTTTTTATTATATTAGGTTGCATTTAAAAATAATCTAACTCCATTCTTTGAAAGCAACCTAATACCTATATAAAAAACATTATATACAACGAAATGTAACAAATTATAATCAGTTATAAAAAAGGGTCTTAACAGACAGACGGACGGCAACAAAGTGATCCTATGAGGGTTCCGTTTTTTCCTTTCGAAGTATGGAACTTTAAAAAAAAACTGTAAAAACCTAAAAATAAAAATCTTACATGTTAACAAATAGTTCCCATATATCTAATTTAACTTAAGAAATAACATGGTTCTAAAAATGTAACTTGTTATAATATAATAATTTGTCCATAGTACGCTTGCTACGCCATCGGTAAGGACGTGCAGGCGATGAAGGCTGTGGTGGGTGAGGAGGCGCTGACTCCTGATGATCTGCTCTACCTCGAGTTCCTCACCAAGTTTGAGAAGAACTTCATCACACAGGTAATATTGTTACATTGATTTATATCTATAAGATAGCCTTAAGTTCTAGACTGAAAAAAGACTTAAAATCTAACTAAAAAGAATTCCATTTGGACTGAGAAATGTATTCAAAATTAACGGTCAACTTTCTAATATTTACTGTAGGAAGAAAAATGTCAATAATGCAACTATTCTGATAAATAAGAATAAAGAATCTATGTTATTGCATTTTGTTCTCTTGATATGTCAAAAAAATAAAATTTTCTGCTAGGAATAATTTGTCAATCACGAAAAATATCATTTATCGTGGTTTGCTGAGACGATATCTGTTTATAACATATTGTTATCTTTATTTTATTAGAGATGAAAGACAGAGATGACTATGTTGGTGTCAGAAACCCACGGTTATTTATGTATTTTGATTGATTGTATTATAATGTTTACCTCAGGGCAACTACGAGAACCGCACTGTGTTCGAGTCGCTGGACATCGGCTGGCAGCTGCTGCGTATCTTCCCCAAGGAGATGTTGAAGCGTATCCCTGCATCCACTCTCGCAGAGTTCTACCCGCGTGACTCCCGCCACTAGGCTCCACAATACCCTGTTACCGCGATCCCACTTCACCTCTCTACGGTTAGTTAATCTATGGTCCGCATTATATGTCTATTTATTCTATGACCAAGATTGACATGTGTCAAAATTTTTTGTCTATGGTCAGCTGTCAAATTGTTCGTTCTTCCCGCGTTTTATATTGGGAGATTTATATCGGATTGGAATGTCGGATCGCGTAAATCTTGTAAGATAAAATAAACTGTTTATTAAATAGTAAGTTGTTAATAGATTTATTGTAATGTATTATCTATATTATGATCAAGTTGCAAAATTATAACAATAGTGTTGCTATGTTGATTTATAGTTGTCTATGGCTAGACTCAGCCAGTGTGTGTTGTTACAGTTTAAAAAAATATTTCCGTCTCTGTATATATATTTTTCCCGATATTAAGAGATGAATTAATAAAAAATATATATAAAGTGACATTATTTTTTTTTCGCTGGTGCTTCAGACATGTATACTCTGTGCACAAAATTGTTGCAATTAAAAGTAGATGTTGCCATTTACGTCCGCATGTGATATTTAACTTCTAAAGTTATTTATGTATATAGAATTCAGTTTCATCGCCGGGTAACACTTTGTTACATTCCAAAATTATTTTCCAGCTGCAACGACTCAGTGACTCCTGTTGTATTATGTTACTGATGTATTGAATGGAAATAAAGTGTATAGAAGTTTAAAATCGTCTTATTACTTACTTCCTTTCCCTCATTATTACAATGGAAACACGCCTGCATTGCCAGAATACGCTAAATCCAGTATATATCTTACTAATATTATAAATGTGAATGTATAGATGGATGTTAGAAAGTATCTCCAGAACGGCTGTATGGATCTCGCTGAAATTTGGCATACATGTAGAACAAAGTGTATAGCTCGCTTGTTCGACCACACAGAACACCGACTTGAAGTGGAAGAAATTCCGCCTAGTCTGATGAGTTCGTCCCGTAAGCCACATTTTAGTCCTCTTTCCCTTCCCACCCTTTTTTGTATAAGGTTGCATGGGAAGGGAAAATATAATTAAGTTTGAAATAAAAAGGTAAATGTAATAAAAAGCAATTTGTTGTTTATCATTTATTATAATAAATTTGTTTCAGTTTCACATGGAGTGCAGATTAAATGCCATCTATAATGAACTTACAAACATAATCGTGACAAATTAATTACATAATCTGTAATTTATAAATTAAAAAGATATGAATTACAGATTATGTAACAGAGTAATCAGCCGAATACACTGGAATGAAATCCCTAAGACACAGAACCTTTTGTACATTGACTAATTAGATTTTTTATAAATGTTTCCGAGATTAAATATTAACTAGAAAGATGAGTACTAAAATCTAGCCAGCGATTCCGGCGATCGCTTCAGATGCAAAGTATTTGACGTCCACATCCGGATCTACGTTCAATTTCTCCAAAACAGGCTTCACTTGCGGCTGAATGACAGCTGGGTCGAGGTATGGCGCCATTTTCTGCAGTGTCTTAGCAACATTGAATCTTACGTTGGCAACATTGTCATCGGCCATAGACAAAACGGTCGGCAAAAGAACTCTGGTAGTGATATCTTTGCCACAAACTTCAGACAAAACATTGATACAGAATAAATAAGTCATTCGGTGAAGATAATTCTGTTCTCTGGACATGGCCATTACTTTTGGGATGACATTTGTCTCAGCCCAGGTCGCTCCGTACTGTTCAACTAACTTCTTCAAATTGAGTGTTGCAGCTTCACGGATTGCATACACATGATCAATAAGCCAAGACATGCAGAGTCCTGTCAGTTTCTCATCAAAGAACTCCTGGCCTAATTGCCCGGCTAGTAATGGCATGTGTTCAATAATTGCAAGACGGACTCTCCACTTTGTGTCTTCAGCCAGTTCTACGATAGCTGGAAGTAAAGATTGCACCAACTGTTGGATTCCAATCACTTCGTTGACACATTCCAAGTTTGAGATGATGTTTAGTCGGACTTCAGGGCATTCATCTTTGAGTTGTGTGAGGAATAGAGGCAGGAGGTATTCAATAGTATTGTGCCTGCCGACAATGGGACTCAGTCCCATGATGACTGAGGCCAGAGCAGACTTGACATGCTGGTTGGGATCGCAGACTAAATCTTTGATTTGCGGCAAGATCATTGTCATTATGATGTGCTCTTGGTGAGCTTTATCCAGATTCATGCAGAAGTCTTTAACCTGAAATAAAATTACAGCTTTTAAAGGAACGAAGAACACTACAGTTTCTAACTTAATAAGAGTAAATTAAATTTTTTAACACACTAACAGCCAAGAACAAGTCAATGGGCACAAGCCGAGTGATTTTGATGCTACAATGTCAAAGCATCAGCAACTAATAATGCTCAAATAGGTTCAATGTCTGTCAAAAACGTGACTGGTATTTAAAGAGTTAAGGTTTTTAGATTATCAAATATTTTAAGACCATGTATACTGACTTTGCCTGCAGCGGCAGCCCTGACTTCAGCTTCTGTGTCTTTCAGCAGAGCTTGGAATATCTGCGCAAGGTCAGAACGCGCCAGCTCCGGACCTACAGCTTGTTGCAGCTCTACAAACCTGGGAAATAAATATTTGATTAATTTATATATTCAAACAGTATTGTTTTTCATTCAGTGTTAAATGTTCTACATGGAACTTGTATAACTTATTGTGGGTTTCTGACATCAAAATCTATGTATAAAATATATCGTCATCCCCGTCTCATCTTTGGCAAAACAGAGATAATAATGTTTTAAACAGAGATTTTGGTCTCAAAAACCCACGGTTAATGTTACTAACTTGTCGGCAACCATGTAGCGCACTCTCCAGGATGTGTCTCCAGCGCGGGCACGCACGGTGGGCATCACCAGTTGCTCCATATCTTCAGGCGGCAGCAGAGCTGCTACAGTGGCGCAGGCTTCAGCTGCCAGTAGACGCACTGAGTCTTGTTCATCCTGGCAGTATTGAAAGTTTACTTACATTATAATAATTTTTTACTACATACATACAAGTTTACCTAAGTTTATTACACTGACTGATTTTAGCTCACTTTTTAATTTTTTTTTCGCTTTATTGCGCAATATTTTGAAATAGTTAAGTTCAATGAACTTGCTAAAATAGTAGATCTACAAAGTAAGCATTAGACGCACAATTCTTCATAATTTTTACAAGAAAAATCTTAAAAAGGACACTCTTTTATACACTTAACATTTAGGATACAAATATTAAACAATTCTAGTCTAGTCATAACACATATTAATACTATTTATGTACTCACCTGTGCTAAATACACAAACATAGGGATAAGATCACTTTTCACGTACTCCACTTCAACAACTCGGGCAAACTCGCCCAGCTTGTAGGCAGCAGCGCGGCGTACCATGGGCGTATCATCCTGGCACAGAGAGCGGAAGTGCTGGCGCAGTTCTGCCTTGACTGGTGCCGAGACGCGAGTATAACACACACTGTGGTAACAAGTCATAAATTAAACACATGAACTTCGTTGTTTTTGTGTGTTTCTTCCAGACTATGTTCTACATCCATGCCAAATTTTGTTTAGATCTGCTGAGGTGTTCCGGAGACACTTTCAGACAAACATCCATCCAAAAAATTTGGATTTACAATTAAGATGACATATACAACAAGGTTTCTTTGTCTTTATCATACAGAATATATGTATTATCATCAGGTCACTATACATCCCCACTGATGGGCTCGGAGCCTACTAAGTTAGGTGACTAGGACATAGTCAACACAGGCCTAGTGCTGATTGACTTGACACATATCTTTCAATCTCTTCTTAGAAATATGCAGGATGTATCACTATGTTTTCTGTTGAATATGTATATACTATGCTCCAAATAGTAACAAAAATTATAAACAAAGGATACATTGTATATTTTAGTTGCTATTCTTGTTATATCAAAATATTTGTTGGTAAATTAATTATTTTTTATCCAATTCATTATCAATTAAATCCCACATTAAACTATAAAATGAGTGTTGATTGCAGAATGTTATTCAAAGTGGACACGGGTTGCAAGTGCCTAACTGTTTCATCTTGCAAGAGACAAAATAAAATTTGGAGAACTGATTACCAACCTTTGTTAGTCAAAGAGTCACCTCAAGAAGAAGATTAACTATATATGTAATGAAAATATGAAATCTTATATTTATTTCTTAGAGTTGAATAAAATAATTATGTTTGTTGTTATGTTTAGGTATTGTACAGAGTTAGAAAAACAATTTAGTAAATCATTACTGCTTCTAATAAGCATTTTACAAACAATCTACATGAGACAATAAGCTTGTTTATGTTGAGAAACAAACAAGTAGGATGATTGTGTTTTAGATTTGATTAACCATAGATAATATAAATGTCAAGAAATTCAATGAAAAGATATAAAGTTACAAAACTTTGCAACTTGTATTATAAGAATTTCAAAACCAGAAATTCATAAATATAATATACTTCTAAACTTATTTACTTGGCATTTACATAATCAAGTTTCATTCACAAGCATATTTTTATTTCTTTATAATAGTTTAAGAACAGTTTATATATACATATTATCTTTCATTATCGGACATCCACTTTAAGAATGATATCACCAACATACCTGAACAGTCCACATGCCGAGGCTCTAGAAGTAAACCAGTCCCCACCAGCTAAACGTTGCACTAATGGTACAAAGTGCTGCTCCAAAGCTTGAGGAGTGTGATGCGCTGCAACCGCACGCAGTGAGGCTACCGCCTTATCTCTGACCACTGTCTCTTCTACAGTAGCTAGAGACTCCAATGGAGGCAGTAGGCAGTGGGCAAATTCGCCTCCTCCGACAAGATTGATGAAATTACCTATGTATGGACATAGTTGATGTATTAACTAATATAATTTGCATTATAAAATAATCTTGTCAATCAAAATTAAAACATTGAATAATTTTGCATTAAAATAATATAACAACTGGTTTACATTATGCCAGTACAGTCGTAAAATCACCACTGGCATACAACTAGTATAATGTAAACACTAACTGGTACATGTGAGTCAAAACAGACAATTGCCAGACATTATGAACAAACAATAAATTAATATAAAGAGACCTAAAGTTAGTTAAAATTAATATATATTATTAGTATTTCCAAATTGATGGTTTAATAAAAATGCATTTATTGTATAATATATTAATTTCTTTATAACACGATGAGTAATTTGCTTGTTTGAATGTAGAAATTGTTAAAGCAATTAGTGACTAATAAAAGATAAGCAGGAATACAAAAGGAAAATTGTTAGAGAGGGATAAAGCCAATAATCCTGTTTAGTGGAAGAATTCAAAGCTTATTTATTATTTTCAAATTGTTCTGAGATTTTATTATGAAATAAACTAGAATATAAAGGTTTCTGGTAAAAGTACAAATTACTGTTTGTGCAACTTACCGAGTTGTTCGGCCAAAGCCAAGAGCACTTCATCTTCGTCATAAATGGTATCAGTGAGGAAAGGTATCAGTTCAGAACGTGTGCGTTCAACTCCGAGGGCCAAAGCAATGGTCGACAATTTCTTGATGGAGTTCAATCTTAGTTGTACGTCCTCGTTTTTAAGTTCGTCTATCAACACCGCAATGGGGTACAATGACTCATCCGTCCCGGAATCGCTTGCTGCCATTTTCTCTGCAGTCTATCACTTGTTTCAATAAATTCGACTGCAGCACTGGTAATAAGCCTGCACACCTTGATTTACGACGTTATTTTTATAAAAATCTTTCGCGTTTGAAAGCAAAATGGCAGCAGCTTGTCTATGACAGACAAGCGAAAAACTTATTGAAGACCCATAGACTACATTATGGTTTTACTTTTTTTAAAATCGATAATGTCTTTATATTCACAAAAAGAGAAATTCTACCAGGCAAGCGAAACTTTTGAAATCTGTGCTACAAATTGAACGCAAACGGAGATCATCTTGAAAATTGTGTATATCTCACTCATAACTTTCTCTATAATTTTTGGGCTGTTTTAAAAAAAATCCATAGTGCATATGAATAAATTGTGCTAGCAATATTATGAACGTCTACGTTGCTACCAACCTAAAAAAAAAAATCAATCTGTCAGTTTCCTTTTTGACGGGGGTAAAAAAGACAAGGCTGTATGGCTTAGTTCCTTTGCCTGCTCTTTCGAGTGAATAATAAAAACAACAACAACAACCTTTTTGACGTTTGAAAGTATTATTCGAGGGAAAACAATTTTGGAAAAATAAAACAATTTCGTTAATTGCAACTTTATTTAATCTTCTGACTAAAGCGAACATATTTCAACAACGCAACATAGTGCTCATTGCTTTCGTAATAATACCATTATTGTTTAGTTCACCAACAAAATACCCCAACTTTGATAAATGCTTATTTGTTCCAGTTTGTTTATTTGATAGATCATATTTTCTGATAGAACTGGAGTAGTAGTGCCACTCTCGTCGGGAGAAATAGAATAACACTGGAAAGAGATTAGCTCCTATCTGTTGGTAAAATATTTAGAAAATTGCTAACAAGACAATATGCATTGAAGCAAAACAAATCGTCATCATCAAGCTCACTATACGGACACACTATACTCCACTGAGGAGCTCGGAGCCTACCCTCAAGAATGCGACTAGGTCTTATTCAACAACGCAGAGCCAGTGAGGGTTGGTTGACTTCACACATATCTTTGAATTTCTATGCAGTTGTATGCAATTTGTAATTACAGTAAGAATATCGGATGGATGTTATCAAGAAATTCGAAGAACGCATTACTATATAGCGGAGATTGTACCTGGATATGTAAAATATGATCCGGTCAAGCGCCAACTGCACTGCCGACGCTCCAAATAGTCCCCTAATCCAAACTTTTCCTATCAAATCATTGCAAATGTAAAAGTCATGTTAAATATAATGTAATGTAAAAATAGAATACAATATTTAAGTTTTACTTCTCAAATAAATTCATAAAATTATCATGAACCTAAAGATTCCGCATATTAACTCTTTTGTTATTACTATTCTCCATAGATGTGTAACCTATAGATTACTTAACAAGAAAAATAATGAGCTTAGGAGGCATCATTTTGGGGTAAAGTACCTGTGTTGAAATTTAAATTACTTGTAAGAAAATTGTATACAATCTCTGTTTATTTTTTATTACTTAGTTCAAAAAAGGTTTAGGTTTTATTATAAGTTGTAATATTTGTAAAATCCAAATTCAATAAATTAATTTTGTTTCATATTTTTCACTAAATGGTATTTTTTTTTCTTTTGTACTTGATACTTAATTCCCTATATTTTATTATATTTTTATTTTCTATACACTGCATTTCCCAATTTCGAGAAAATCTTGTTATGCTAGTGTATATTTTATATTAAAGTCTAATA